CATATTCTATGAGCTAGCATGTGGTCTAATTTGGAGAATGACCCATGTGCAATTGAAAAGAATATATATTCTGATTTTATGGGGTGGAACATTCTGTAGACATCTATTAAGTCCATTTGTTCAAAATCTTGGTTCAGTTCTAATATTTTATTGTTGATTTTTGTCTAGATGATCTGTCTATTGTGACAGTGGGGTATTGAGGTCCCCCACTACAATTAATTGTATTAGTGCTTTGATTTTTCATGTCCATTAATATTTGTTTTATATATTTGGGTGCACTGCTATTTTGTGCATACGTATTTATTATTGTCATTTCTTCCTCTCAGATTGTTCTAATTACAAGGATGTAGTGACCTTCATTGTCTCTCTTAATTAGTTTTGGTTTGAAATATACTTTGTCTGCAAATAAGATAGCTACCCTGCTTTTTTCCCAGTTCCTGTCATGTGAAGTACTGTTTTCCATCCTTTGACTTTCAGTCCATGAATTTCTTTTTGAATTAAATGTTTCTTGTATACAAGATATTGTTGGATCTTGCTTCTTGATCCATTCTGCCAGTCTATTTCTGATTGGTGAATTGAGGCCATTAACATTGATAGTTATAACTAATATGTATTGACTTATCCTTGTCATGATATTTTCCTGTTGTTGGTTCTATTTTTTCTTTTATTTTTAAATTATTATTATTTTTTATACCAGAGGTTGAACTGAGGACCTTGCACTTGTGAGGCATGTGGTAGAACCACTGAACTAAATCCCCAGCCCCTTATTTTTATTTTTCCCCCTTTCCATTTAATTTCTTGACTTGCCTGATGGCTTTATTATGCTGGGCTTCATGGAGTTGTGACCCTCATTGTCTTTTTCCAGAATATTGTTTAGAATATTTAAAGTGCTGCTTTGATATTCATGAAGTTCTTCAGGTGTTCTTAGTTGTGAAAGTATCTTATTTCTCCATTGATTTTGAAAGACAGTTTTTCAGGACATATCAATCTGGGTTGGAGGTTGTTTTCTTTTAGGGCTTGAAATACTTCACTCCAGGCTCTTCTTGACTTGAGGGTTTGTGTTGAGAAGTCTGCTGTAATTCTGATGGGCTTTCCTTTATGAGTTGTTTCTTTTCTCAACTACTTTTATACTTTGTTCTTCTGTTGGGTTTCTGTAATCTTGACTATTATATGTCTAGGTGTAGATTTTTTTTAAAATCATGGCTAGTTGGAGTCCTGTATGCCTCACTTATCTATATGTCAAATTCTTTTTCCCTGCTTGGAAAGTTTTCTGCCATTACTTCTGTGAAAAGTTTTTCTTTTAATGTTGTTTGCACTATTTCCTGCTTTTTCACTAACTAATCAGTCTTATTTTATTTTTCTTTATATCACCTAGCAGCTGCTGGATTGATTTCTTGTGGTCCCTTGCTATCTTTAAGAAACCTTTCATAATTACTAACCACAGTCCTATCCTCTACATCTGATATACTGATATTATTTGTTTTGTTTTGTTTGTAGAGCCTCATTCATCTGTGATTTCATGCGTTTTAAGTTCAGGATGTCCAGATGTTTGGCTTCTGGACTGTTCTACCTCATTGCCCACTGAATTTGTCTTTGGGGAATTGGAAGTCTGGTTTTGAGTCTTGCTTAGCTATCTTCTCATTTTTGTTGTTGTTGTTGATGATGTTTTTGGTTTAATTCCTGGTTTGATACTTGTATATTGTTTATTGCAAGTATCTTTATTGCTAGTATTTAGAACTTTTAGGGAATGATTACTTCTCAGAAGTGTCTTCCAAGTATAACTGGTCTTTGGGTTTTGAGTTTGTAATGAGCCTGAGACAATCTTGGTTTTGGTATACCAAGAAGGACAACTTATTAGAAAAATCATGTCACATTGGCCAAAGAAGTACAGTCAACATCAACAATAGCATCAAATACAACTTAGAAAATGACAAATTGTAACTACTAATCTGTCACCTTTGACCACATAAACTAGACTTGTAGTTATATATCAAAATCAAGGACCAACTAGAAATATGTTTGCAGTAAATAAGCCCTTCAGTATAGCAAATTTATCCTCCGGGAAGAAGACTTAGAAGGAGTTGGCGGGGGGGAGTGGAGAGATAGGAGGAGAGAGAAATGTTAGAAATGGTGCCAGAGGACACAGGAAGATCATGCAAACTTTGAGAAACTGCTGAAGACAGGAGGAAAAGAGAGGAAGGAGTAAAAACAAGAAGAGAATAAATTAACAGCATCAGAAAAAGTAGAAACTGTATTCAGTCTCCTATAAAAATAAGATCAATCAAGAAAACAATAGGACAGAAGAACAAGACAAAGAGGAAGAAGAAGAATGATGAAAACAACAACAGCGTCCCCCTTCCGGGCATGTCTCTGTTGTCACCAGCAGACAGTGTGGGGAGCAGCATGATGATCCACGTCGATTAACCTCAGTGAGCCAGCTGCAGTACACTGAGATTCTGGCTGTGGGGCTGGAACTGAGCTCCCTGACCTGTGGGTTTGAACTCTGCAAGGTTCTGTTGTAGGTTTGAGTTGCATTTCCCCTGAAGTGAGTCTGGGTTCTGCAGGAGGTGCTGATCCCACCAACTCACTAACCGCTGTAGTTTGCTGTGTCTTTATTACAGACACGCTATTTGCTCTCCCAGGGGGCTTAAATGTTCCACAAGCTTTGGAAGGGCCCTCTTTGCTCATTGCAGCTCTATCTTCTCGAGTTCCTAGCAATGGCCTTGCTGGCCCCTGGGCACTTCTGCTGCAGAGCTGTGGATCCCCACTGCCTCCACATGAGGCAGGCCCTCCAGGTGTAGAACAGTCCGAGGGATAGGAAATGTTAGTTGAAGGCTTGAGGACTCAAGTGGATTATGTCCCGGGTGCACTGGCTGGCTCTCCTCTTCTGGGCCACAGGCTGCTGATGCTCCAACCTGTCATGATCAGGAGCTCGCTTCCAGGATGGCAGCAGGCATTAGGGAAGACCTTCTCCACTGTGCCCCACGGTGTGCCCTAGGCCTGCCACGCTGACCTGTGGGGGACACATGGCATGGAGGAATGGAAGCCGTCATTTTAAACCAGAGCTGGAGGTTGCTCTTGATTGGGCAGCTGCTTTTGAGGTCGTCATTACCTCCCTGGAATCCAGCTCATGCTGGCTGCAGTTGTTTAGTTGGTCAATCCAGTGCCTGATAGGTGAAATATGAGTTTATCAGTTTGACTACATTATGGTCCAAATGCACAAAATCTGGAAAAATGCAGGATCCAACTGGGCACTAAACAAGTAGGGAAAGACACAAGCTTCTATCTTGTCATTGTAGAACTTACCCACCCGAATGGGTTACCAAAAATACGTGGAAGCTCTGCTGGAGGACTGTAAGATGCCAAGGTGAATGGCATGGGTTTGACATCCCCTGTAGCACAGGACAGGAAGGGAGTTGGGCCAAGAATACTTACCCAGAGGAGTGAGGATTGTTCCTCAGCAGTCACTGTGGTTTCCCCAGGGCCCAGTGGTTTTCAGAACTGTGCTCAGTGACACATCTGGTCTCCTTATTGGGCCACATTACATGACTTGCCTTGGGTACTTCGTATTTTTAGAAATGAGCTTTATAATCACCTTGATAACCTGTGCCTGTTTATACTTAAGGTTCCTGAAACACTTAGAAATTTGACATACTCTTACTGATTTGAGACGTCAAACTCACCAACAGTATCTGAATATTTGAAAGCTCAACTTACCATGTGTATGTTGGATTTGTTAGCTTTGTAAGAGTCAAGTATTTACAAAGCTTTTGAAATTTAAGGCCTCTTAATGCAAGTCAGACATTTTTTTTTTCTCTCATTGTGTTTACTGGTACTTTTTAGTACCGATACATTTTTTAGTACAGTTACATTCATCATTGGGATCTTGTACCTTTATGTGACAGGTCTTGGTTCTCATTTTTTCCCCATACCCCTTCCCTCCCTTCACCCCCTCCACCATTCCCTACTTACAAAGACTTTTTTTCCATTTTTTCATTTGCAAATCAGACTTCTTAAAAGATTTGGGAGAATTAGATATAAGAAAAATCCCTCCCTTCACCCCCTCCACCATTCCCTACTTACAAAGACTTTTTTTCCATTTTTTCATTTGCAAATCAGACTTCTTAAAAGATTTGGGAGAATTAGATATAAGAAAATATGTGGATAGTGTTCTTGCCTTAAGCTTTCCAGGGAATTAACTGACCAAGTTTGTACATACACCTAGGTATCTGAGGAATCTTAAATGTTGATTAGAAATGATGTCTTTCCATGTACGTTTAGATGCTAACACATGTACTTGGCTGCAAAGTTTGTGCTTCTTTTCCACTGTTTTTCAGGCCTTCTTCATGTCCTGAACTCATCGAATTGATATCCACGTTGAGACTTTTACTGTAGGAGCTGCAACGAAACAACGGCTGTGGTGGGTGGCAGAACCCGTGCCCTGCTGCAAGTGCCACGCTGACCACACACTCCCAGAACAAGCCAAGTCCGGCAGACACACACCACAGCCGTCCTAAGGGCCACTCTTCCCGATCCTTCTGGTTACTACAAATTCTCCTAAATCAAATTCCACTTTATGTGGATACTATTTTGTAACAAGCATCAGTAAGTGTCCAATTACACACAGGTAAATTCAACAGCAGTAACTGCAAGTCAGTGCCTTTCCTATTAGTTTCCTCAGCTTCACACAATTTTACCTCCCTTAGCCCAGTGAAAAGCTACTCTTTTGGAAGGTGTATTAGTACATCTCACTAGGTAGTGGGTTTTACAGCAGTATAACAGTAACTGAATGACTGATATTTGAAAGAGCTCAAAAGTTTAACTCTCAAAAGATCTGATTCCCAAAGTCAGAGCAGAAAATACAACTGAAGAGAAAAAAAAATACTGTTCTTATAAAATATAGTTGAGATCACAGAATTGAGTCCTTAAAAAAAGGGAAATGAATAAGCAAACGAAATAAAGACCATATTTATTTAGTTTCAGGTTTTATTTTCATAATTATCTTCCTATAGAAGCAATAATCTGTATTTATGTAGTAACACATTTAATGTCAAAGAGCTGGAAAAAATAGGACTAGAGCAGATTCCATACACAAACACCATACTCTGCATATGTACAAATAGTTCAATATATTAAATATATGTGTATACTACTTACTATATAGAACACTGATACTAGATTCTGAGCATATTCATGCGGAACTTCATTTTGGTAAAGTGAAGACACAAGTTCTGGAAAACAACTATTCTTGTTGTAAACATCGTTTTCTGACTATGTTCTCAGGATGAGACTCACACAGATGGAAAAATAAAATGTGTAGGTGTGGAACAAAAGCTCTTCACAGACATCACAGAGGACGACCCTCACATGGAGGGGCTCTCTGGAAGCTGGCACTTCCAACCTGAAGGTGCAGGGTGGGACAGGGCTGTCCCGTGGCTCAAAAGTCAGCAGCACGCTGCTTCATGATGCCCGGGATCATTCCCATTTTCAGTGTGTAAGACTAAGTGCTCCCGGCCCCACAGGCTGTACCGAGGAGCATGCTGGGTAGACATCTGTGAGCACTGCCAATCTGCCCACACAGATTACTAGTTTGCTCAAAGGAACCTTAGCAGGAGATTCCAGAAGTTTCTGCCTGGACCTAAGGGTACATGCAGCAGCGATGAAATTTTAGAAAGCTTAACTTATCCTTAAATAAAAATGTCTAAATACAGTCATATTCAGACTGCTCACAGTCTCAACACAATGAATAAAAATGAGCTGCCACCTGCTGAACTGTGCAGGTGACTTCAGGGGAAGCACAGGCTTCAGTAGCTAGCATTTGCAGGAACCCGGCCACTGGGAGACAGGTGCTTCCTCTGAGCAGAGCTGTGGCTGGGGTCACCAGTGCCCTCTTCTGATTGTTTCAGGAAGCCCAGTGAAACAAAGCAGGCTGTAGGGGAAGACTCTAAAGGGACCCAGATGGGACTGAGTGGAGAGAGAACCACCCTGGGGACAGGACGTGCAGGGCACATTGCTGCTGTCCTAGCCTCCTTTCAGACAACAGGCAACAAGGCAGGTCTAAACCACACAGGATGCAAAAGGAATGCTTCAAAAATAACGTCAGGAAACCACTAAGTATGAGGATGCTGGCAGCCCAGGCTTTTACACGTGTCTCTCAAAAACAACTCTCCCTTGTTAGCCAAACCTTTGGAGTATGCTACTCTCCCTGTTCAGTAATAGTCCAACCGCAACAACAGGCGAACCAGAAGGAGAAACACAGGTGTTAAGATGATGGAACGCAACTCCCTTCTCTGAACGTGTGCAGGACGCTGGCTTCTGGGTGCTCAGGACCTGAGGTCTCCAGAGGGTCAGCGCACCTTTGTAGTGCAAGAATCCCCCACACTGCACAGAATACTGGAAACAGCAGAGCCGTCTTCACAGAACACCTCCAAGTTTTTATAAAGTCACATATAAAAGCTTGGGCTTAACACCCTAAGTCTCAAAACTGCTTTGTCTGAATCTCATCTCTGAAAGGATTTAAAATTTAAATGCCTCTAGTATCGTGGGGAATAAACTTCCTTTTCAAAACAAAATAACGTTTTAATATAATAATTCTCTTACCTGTAAACATAGCTTTTAGCAGCATTAAATACAAAAAAACAATACTCTAATAATAAATTACAGGAACACCAGAGAAGAAGAGTACCAATGTGTCTGGCCCTTTGTTTACCATACGATTTGTCTAGAATTTGGCTTGCAAACTTTAAAATCAAGTGGATTAAAATGACAATACATTCTCTGCTCATTCCTGTTCTTACAATGGAAAAGAAAATGCATCACAGTAGTAGATACAATGGCAGATTGGGGGAAATGGTAACTAAGAATCATTTTTATTAGTATTCAAAATCATGACCTCAAGAAGTAGAGAACTTTTAATGAGTCCCAGGTCCATGAAAATGGTTATGTCAAAATTTCCCTTCCTCTTTTCCTTTTCTTCTTGTAAGCAAAATACTAGCACAGTCCTCCTGAGTATTCATCTTCCTCCTCCTCCTCGGGGGCCGCAGTGGCCACGCCGCCCGGCTTGGCCTGGGGAGCTGCTGGTGACTTCTTGATCCCTCCTCCCGGCACTACCAAGCTGAGGCCCAGTTTGGCGTACTGTCAACGACAGGGAAGAGAGGCTCGTGAGCTCGGCAACTGGACCCCCTGACAATGCGACTTCTGCATATGGAGCCACCAAGCTCAGCTCAGCTGCACGGCCTGTCAGGACAGGACAGGCTGAGAACAGAAGTGAGTGACACAGGACACGCCTCTGTGAGAGTTCAGTGTAAAACGACAGCCTCACCCTCCGCCCTGCGAGGGAAAACAGTGACGTGCCGGGAAAACACACGACGTGCAGGCACACAGCTGTGACACACAAGTAGTGCACACTCGGGACCCGAGGTGACGCAGATACACTACCACACTTCTGGCCCCGGGGAGAAAAGAATGGCTGAGTGAATCAGAGAAGTGAGGGGCAAGTCTTAAAAAATGGAAACCGATTTACAAAAGCAGGCCTAAGAATTCATGTTGGAGAGCATTTCTCTGCACGCATCACCATGACAAGCGGACGGCCCGCAGCTGACCTGGGCCTATGGGGGACTCTACGCCGCTGCTCGCCAATCCCGAGAAAAGGAGGTGGGAGAGAAGCCAGGGCCACTCCACGACTGTGCGGGGCGTCCTGTGAGGCCCTTTCTCACCCTGACTGGAGGGCCCTTTGTGACGCCCAGTGTGACGATGCCAGCAGCTCCCCACTGCCACAGGTGACATGAGTCACCTGGGCTTGAGGACCGGCAAGAGCAGGTGCCCTGTGAGCAGCACAGCACAGGCCTGCTGAGCTGCTGGGACCACACCATGGGCCTCTTTCAGACAAGATGCCCGAAAAAAAGCAACTGATTAACTAAATGCCTTCAGAGGAAACAGACCGCAGGCGATGCTGAGAGGATAAATTCAAAAGTATGCCAGTCAGCCAGGTGTGGTGGTGCACTCTGTGATCCCAGCACTCCGGGAGGCTGAGGCAGAGGACTGCAGCGTTCAAGCCCAGCCTGGGAAACTCAGTGTGAGACCCTGCCTCAAAATAAAAAATACGATAGGACTAGGGACATAGCTAGTGGCAAAGCCCTGGGTTTAATGTCCGGTATTACAAAATAAGTAAATCAATTTAAAAAATAGAATGTGCTATGGTAAATGCAGCTAATGAGTCAGGAAAGGGCAGCGGCATTATGGGGTCAACGTCCAGGCTTCCTCCGCTTTGGAGGAACTCAATGGAATCGCCTGGCTCTCTCTGAGTTAGTTCGAGGTGAAAAGCTGAGGCAGAAAAATCTCTCAAATCACAGGGAGCCCCTCGCCAAGCGGAAGGCAGAGCGCCCTCCCGGGGCACTCACGTCGTTGTCCATGTACTTGAAGAGGGGCGAGCTGCAGACCTCCGACACCTGGTCTTGGTCCTGCTGGTCGTAGCCCTCGAGGAGCTGCTCCAGTGCGGCACAGTCCTCACTGCCGCTGAAGCCCGGGATGCTGCAGAGACAAAGCACACACTTCTGTCCCCTCTCCCCACAGAACGCCTCTGCCCTGGGACGGAGCCACAGCGAGGGGCCGGGGCGCTGCTCAACACCCTGGGGTGCACGGCACCACAAAGGCCTCGTCTAGCCCCAGAGCCAACAGGATGGGTCCCCCGCACAGGACGCCCTCCTGTCACCGTCACGCAGCGCATGTGGGAGCTGTGTCTTTCCCTGCACTTTATTCCTTAGAAAGCAAACATATGGAATGATGAAAGTCACTCGCCCCCACGGAAACCCCAGAGAAAACAACTACACTGAAACGGCAGTCAAGGACCCCTATCCTAGTGTGACAGCCAGAGACCGTCCGAGCGGCAGCCTTGGTGGCACTCACCTGTAGCTCTCCCTGACGCACCTCTCCGCAGCCACATAGTCATTTCTGTGCAGATGAACCAAGACCTGAGCAATGGTTTTCTAAAACAAAAGAGAGGATCAGGTCCACATGGACAGCTAGCACATAAAGCCATCCTCCGGGCAACGTCTACAACAACTGCAATTCAACTTTCAGTCTGGGTTTGTATAGAGGTTTATAAATTCTGCAGTAAATCCCAAAGACGCCCGAGAGAAAACATTCTTGAGAGAACTCCTCCAACCCCAGGGACCTGGCGCTGAAACCTGAGGGCCACACTGGAACCACAGAGCCTCAGAAGACCTCACGTCTTACAGAGAATTTCCATCAAGCATCTGTACAATCTTGAAAAGAGAAAAGTTGGGAGGGACCCCATAACTCTTGTAATTCACAAGGCACTAGGAAAGTGTGCATGAACGCTTCAGCAGGGACAGCAAAGTTACAAGAGCAGGGCACATTCCAAATCTTACTGGCAGCACAGGGCCCCAGTCTGCCTTTGTTCTCAGAACGCAGCTCTCCTGCTCTGGGTCCCCCACTCCCACCGCAGCCAGGACCCCTGCAGGTCTCACACCTTGGGGCAGGGCTGGCGAACCATGGCTCACAGCTGCAGCCGGCTGCCCCTGTCTCTGACAGCTTCAATGGCTTGTGCCATCACGGCCTGGGAAGCCCCTCTCTCTCTCTGCTGCAGGTCTCCTCCTGCTGTCCTGGCTCTCACACAGGTGTCTGGATCCCCCACACCAGCACTCAAACTCGGAGCCACGCCAAAGAGCAGAGGACAGCGGAGGCAGTGCCCCGGATGCTGGAAGGAAGCTGTGTGGCCGGTGCTGCTCAGGCTTCCTGGGTGACGCAGGACACAGGGACCAGAGACTCGCTCTCTGTCTGGCCTGTGCCCACGCACTCACTGCCCCACGGGCTGCCCGCTTGTGCTCCCTTTACAGAGTGTGGGTCGTTGCTTTCTATCTTCTCCTCGTAGTTTTAATTCTCATCAGCAAGACAGACCAGGCAGCGATGGCTTATTCTGTCTTGGTAGAGTGTTATTTTACAAATACCCACAGGATCCCTGGTTAGGCATTTATGCCAATGTGAAAAATTATCCAATGTAAAACCAAAAATGAGCACTTTCAAATACCTTATAACAAGTCGGGTAATTCTCGATTTCCTTATAAATGTTTTTTTCTTTCTGAATAGAGAGTGCTGCCTCATCAAACCTGAAAGCAAAACAAAGAAATGTAAACAAGGCAGGTCTGTGTGAGGTCCCTTTGGAAGGTGCCTGACATCATAGACTTCAGAGAAACAAAGAGAACCACTGCTTACCAACTGCGGCATAACGTAGGCTCCCATCTGCCCTGCTCCACGCTTGGCATGAGGCTGGCACAGGGCACAGGAATGCACGGTGCCAAGGCCCACGCATCCATGAGCACCTAACAAACCCAACAGCCCTGATTCCAGCACCCCAGGCTTCCCTCCAGGGACAGAGGCTCCAGGCACTCTAGAGCACCCTCTACCGGCATCCTTGCGGTCCAAAGGTCAATGTGATGCACTCCAGAAGGTCAACCTGCAAGTGGGGTGTGGCAGTGGTATTCCAAGACTGCCCCCAGATTCTCATGCTCAGACCCGTGTAAACACTCCCCTGGGGCGGGCTTGCCCTCTGAACAGGGTGGGGCTCTCTCTGGGGTTCAGGGCTCATGGGGGACTGAGGGGACAGCCGGTGAGGTCTGTCTGCAGGGCCTGACCCCCTGCAGTTTGGGTCACAGCAAACGACCTTGCAGGGCACAGGCTGAGGAACTGAGGCACCGCTGGCTGAGAATGGTTCCAGGCTGACAGCCGTGAGAAACCAGGGAACTCTGTTCACAACCGCAGGGAACACATTCTACCAACACCCAGCGAGCCTCAGGCACCATCACACAGCCCATCCAGCCCACACTCTGGCCTCATCCCGGCGAGGCCAGAACAGCCCAGACTTGTGGCCCGCAGAACTGTGAGGTAACTCAAGATGCTGAGTTTCTGGTAATTTGTCCATGCAAACAGAAAATGAATGCACGGGGTCCCATGGGTGTCTGTATCACTTGTGACACGAGCATGAGCTTATCACAGATCCTGTATAATAAAATAAAACACAGCAGAGATGTCCTGTGCCATAATGTCCAAATTCACTCCAGTAGGAATAGTACTGCAAATTCTCAACACATTCATCTACGAGACTATGTTCTTCAACATGAATTATTTATGTCACTGTCATAAAAACAGCATCTCCATGTGCTTATAACAACCCAGCAAAGAACCAAAAGAAACACTGTGTGTTTATGAGCCTGGAGTCAAAAAAGTCTATCAACTTTGCTAAAGTCCACGGACCTGGCATAAGAAGCGATCCATCTCTGAAGGAATCCAGGAAATTATTCCAACTTACAATGAAACAGATGATCTTGACTTTCCCATCAAGTCATTCTCAATACTCCTAACAAAATGTATCTAGTTTTGCTGCAGACTGTTTCTGTCTTCCTGTAACTGAGATTTAGGCCAAAATAGATGAACTCTAAGCCCAACCCATAGCAATTAAGACAGGCAACTGCCCAGGCTTTGTTCCTCCCCACCTCTCCATGACCCAGATGTTTCCCCAGCTCCAGCTGTTTCTCAAACTCCAGCACCTGTTTTTAGCGGCCTGCAAGGCTTCCCAGTCTTGTCAGATTCCCCGCTGTGGCTCTCATCACCATGAAATCATGGAGAGGCCTCGTCCACAGTGGATGGGACAGTTATCGCAGCAGCCCAGACAGCGCCTGTGCCGGGACAGCCGTCCTCCCTATGTTTAGGGCTTAGGGACTGTCCACTCCTGCGGGTGCTGAGCAGGAACAACCACCATGTGCCCGCCTGCTCCATCTCTCTGGGAGGCTTGGCCCTGGTCAGCTTGGGGGCAAAGGACTGGCCCGCCCCAGTGCTCCCTAAGTGAAATTCTGGGTCACTCTGAATTACGGAAAGCGTGAGGCCACAAGACACAAGGCAGACTGGCTGATGCCGCTATCCTAGGGTATACTGAAGTGTTAGGTTACTCGGATTACTACAGACCAAGTGCAGGGAGCCCTATGCCACTGGGTGTTGCTGTGGAACTTCAAACTCGCCAACCGTTACAGTTCTTTTAGGCCACCAGTGGCCTCCACTCAGATTGTCATGGATCACAGGAATAGGCCCAATTATCTCTCCAGCAGGACAAACTCTTGGTGATTTTTGTCACCCTGCACTGCTGAATCAAAGCCCTCACCATGACAGCAGGCTTTTCTTTCCTACCACACGTACCCAGGGACACTTTCCATACTCTCAAACTCCATCTTATTCCGAAGTTTACATCAACTTTTACAGTGTTATACAATTTAAAGTTATATTTCCATAAAGCTGACTTTTGTTCAAACACTACAGAAAGTTTCATTTTAAAATGGTTTTACTAAAAAGAAGTACAAAGAGGAAACAAAAAACCTAGTAAAATGAACCGAAGTAACTGCAGGACCCCCTCCCAGCACACCGAGGCCAGGCCCGCACCTGGACCCACTTGAGCCCTGGCAACAGGAGGAAAATGCCATGCTGAGCCTGATTCCAGCCATGGTCTCCATCACGGCGGCCAAAAACACATGGTAATGTCTGCAGGACAAGGGGAGCACACCCTACAGGAGGGCCAGCAGAGCTCAGCAAGCCAGGGACTCCTCGCCTGACCTCCTCTCCCCTTCGCTCCCCCACAACACAGCTTTATGTTGTCTACAGTCTGGGAAGTAGGCAGGAAAGATGTGAAGAGCATCCCAAGTGGCTGTGCTTGCCTTCCGGCCCACCCCACCACCTGCAACTCTCCCCGCTCCAGCGGGCTCCTACAGGAAGGGCTCTGGGGCTCTTTACAGAGGAGGGCACCACAGGCCAGGATGCGCCGTAAGTACAAGAGTATAGGGCACTGTCCCTGTTTCTAGGTGGGGCCGGCTCACAAGGTGGGCTCTGGGTGACACCTCACAGGTCAGCCACTGCACAGCCGAGGGACTGCTGCCACAGGCGGGTTCTGTCGGAAGCAGATGCTGAACTGAGTCTGCATTTCCAGGAATCAATGGCTACTGCAACCAACAAAGGTGATGATTCAAGACTGATTTATGAATTGAACTGTTTCATGTTTTAGTACAAAAGGCTTCATTTAAAAAGTACAACAAAATTTCTATTCCATTTAGGCCAAGAAAAACCTAAAAAGGCTTTATATAGAGTGGCAGATCTAAATGAGAACATGACAATAGTTAAGTCTAGGTTTAGTCTGTTATTTTAAACATGTTTGAATTACATTCTAGAATGTGCATTGTTAATTAAGAAAAAAACGAATGCAGTCTCAGACTGATAGATTCAGTAGTCATTTCTATTTTAATTTCTGGACAAAATAAATCTGGGGTCTTCTCTGTCACCAGAGAGCTACGTGCAAGTTTTAATTAAGATATCTGTCTTCAAACTTACAATCTCTTAAGGGTGCTTATCTTAATTACTGTATTATTGAGAACTTGGCAAGCATAATTTTATCAATGATACAAATTGTGTACTGAGCATAAGCTGAGGTAAAGCAGAAGAGACCCAATAGTCTAGCTTTCCAGTATCCCACAATTAGTGCTTTAAGTCACATATTGCAGGATAAAACGCCCCAATCAATAGCACAATTTGACTATCAAGAAACTCACTTTTCATGGGTGAGCATTAAAAACACTTGTCTTTTATCCCAATATATGTATATCCCCTCAAGAGAGAAGCATTCTAGACTAAGTAGCAAATGAAGAACAGCGTTCTCATTCATGTGCTGAGCTACATCTAGGCCAATAAAAGAACGGTGCAGACACTCGGGCCCGTGCTCAAGCACAGACCTCTGATGCTGAATTCCATGTGCCCACTCTTCTCCGTGTGGCCTGCTGCGCCTCTGGCTGATGCCAACATGATGAACAAGCTGTGCCTTATACATTTACCCATGCCCAACACAGACGGCCAGGAGCACAGCTGGGAAAGGTTTACCTGCGTCCGCGAACCAGCAGCCTGGAGGCTTTTCCTAGCAACTCAACCGCCTGCCGGAGGCGCTCCTCGTTCTGAAGGAATCAAAGGAAAGGGAGCGTTGGCTGCTTTAACGTGGCATCTTCTTACCCTTCGATAACAACTCTACAAGGAAGAAGTGGCCCTGGTCGGGGAGTGCCAGAGCTGCTAGTCCATTTCACTACTCTAACAGAAAAAAGGGAGATGGTTCAGTTGCGAGCATGGTAAAGCTTGGCAAACTACCCACTGCATTTCTGCTTTCCTGTAAGTTATCAATCTAGATGCTCTGCATAATTGAAGAAAAACAATAAGATTCCAACTTACTTCAAACACGTTAGCTGTCTGCTGATATAACTGTACAGCCTTTTCAGGATCTACATTTTCTATCAGCCTGAATTAGAAGAGAGAATTTGACTTATGTGAGAAACAGAAAACTTGTTTTAGAGGACATGAAAATCAGAAAAGCACGACTTCCTGGGGCAGCACGCACTCACTTCCCGGCGCGCTCCAGGGCCATGGCGGCCGTGTCCGGGGTGCCGTTCTCCAGGTACATCGTGCTGGCTTTCTCGATCAGCCGGACGGCCTCCGGCAGCTTCTGCATCTCCTTTGGGCAGAGCACACAGCACAGGTCAGCTTAAGAAACGCAGTTAACAACTGGAAACTCAATTATTATCTTCCTGTTTGACGGGAGCCAGTGACACATTACCTGTCACTCTACAACAGCAAACCATGCTGCGCCCTCCTCCACAGGACGCTTCCCTCCCGCACAGACGGCTCCAGCAGTTTTCTGCAGGCCATCCTCCCTTCACAGACTTCCAGAGGCTCCATGTAACAGTGAGACTGAGAAACTGCTCTGAATTATTTTTCCAAGCACTTACTGTAAACACTTACTGAGCCTACTGTGTAGGAGGCCTGTGCTGAAGGTCACACACCGGCAGCCCCAGAGCTGCATTCCACCTCTAAGTACATTCTGGTTGAATCACGTAGTATTTTAAAATCAGACACTTTCACAGAACTTTTGTTTTACAGCTTCCTTTGAAAAAGCCTTCAAAGGTTATGGTCACAGTGCTCACGGGACAGTGAGGAGGTGGGCAGAGTGGGAGTGGCCCTGTCAGGAGCGGGTGCCTCTGGGGCTGGCAGTGCTTTTCCACATCTCTTGCCCACTGCCCGACAGACACTTGTCCCCTGCACCCAGGTCCAGCAGAATCTGAAGCCCCGGCCATATCTTATTCTTGCTCTCCGAGTCTCAGATCTTTGTGTCCTAACATCTCCAAATCAAATATTTACTAAAAACTGAAAATGGAAACCATTTAAAAGCTCAAAGTTCCCAGGAGTTGTGCGGTTAAGGTTGACCTACGTGTGTGACACAAGCCACTGACATCTCGTGGGACATGGTCAAATGTGCCTGTTCAGCCTCTCACTGAGCCCACAAACACTCACACGTCTCCAGCAAAACTGCCGCTCCCATTCTCATCAGTTCTAAAACATAACTTGTTCGTCACTTAGTTATGGAGACTAACATTAAGACAGACTGAAGGACACACGAAATAAAGCTGCTACTAATTATTACTCAAGTGAAATATAGCATGTCCCTAAGCTTCGATGGAAACATTCTTTTGTGCTAGAAGCCAAAGCTCAGCAAGAGAGCCCCACATCTCTGGAGTGGCACACGTTGGAAGATATTTGGGAAAACTTTGGTCCTGGGGGTCATTTTCACTGTTATAGACTATTCCTTCCTGTAATTCACGATTCATTCGTTAAAAGTCTGCTGCGCCCTTGAACAGGAGAGCTTCGGGGATAAAAAAACAAGAACACAGGGCACACAGACCAGTGACTACAACAGAGGTGGAATGAGGATGTGTCACTGAGCCCAGGTTTAAAGATTAATGACAACTGTACACCTCCATGTGGCTTTACCAAGGAAGCCGGCGAGTGACCAGGTCCAACCTCAGTACTGATAGTTCTCAGGGTAAACGTCAGTTACCCACTTAAAAGCAGTACCACTCACTGTCAAGCACTATCTTCAGTGGCTTGTGTGCCACAGTGCCTTACTGCTCCTGTGGAGCAAACAGGACACGAAATCCCAAGTCACAAGTGACAGCACCAGAGTAGATCTGACAAGCCCCAGGCTTCCCTTGGGCCTGGCCTCCAAGCTGCCACCCTCAGCACTGCTGCACGGTAAACGAGAAGCTCTGCGGGACAGGTGGGTAGAATCAGCCCACGGAATGGACTGTGGACCTCACAGCTCGGGACTCCTGATGTCCAAAGGCATTTAAACCAAACACAAGACCGTGCAGAAAATATTTCCTTTCTTGTTTCCCCATCCATCACATTTTTCTTCACCAGAGTAAAGCCTTTTCAACCCTCAAATTAAACAGATACTTGAGCAACAGAAGAGATGCTTGAATCACCTCAGCACAGCTACTGGAATATAAACAGAGGTGGTAAGAGCTACCAATTCTAGCCCTGGGTATCCTAAAAACAGACACGAGGTGCACCGAGATTATAAAGCCACCTAGGAATTTCCTAGTTCCTGGGGAAACAGAGAGGAGATCAGAACACATTCCTGGCTTCTCTGCTGCTAGCAACCTAACCTGTGTCACCTAATGTCAACTCAGCTGCACGTTCAGCCAGAAAAGCTTTATTTTGATGGACAGAGACCAATTCATCAGAAGTATCACACTTTTAAAATTCTATTACAAATTTTAGATAATTGCTTTTTCAATAAACATACTTATGCACAAATATTTTCTATCTACTTCTTTATGACAGATCCACGAAATTGGAATTGCTACGTCAAAGGCTAGAAAAAATTTAAACTAAGTATGTTAATAGCTATTATTGACATTTTTTCTCTCCAATGTTTCTAAATGTTCCATGATGAGCATGCATTCACTGAAAAACATCAGTACGTTAAAATTATCAAAGTTACAGAGAGCTGGACATGGTGGCACTTGCCTTTAATTCCAGCCCTCAGGAGGCTAAGGATGGTGAGTTCAAGCCCAGCCTGGGCTACATAATGAGACCCTGTCTCCAAAAAACCAAAGTCAAAGGAAACAAAAACCTTACTAAAGCCTTACGAACTTTAAATAGTTCAAATAACTTGTACTACATCAGAAAGCACAAATAAAAAATTGAAAGGAAAATATTTCATTTTAATTGCCACCTGGTATACCTGGAGAGTCACAGACTTACAGGAATTATGTTCTAGCTTACCAAAGCAGGACATTAATTCCTCGCCTGCTTTTAAGAAACAGAAATGTGATACCTTTGTCAAATATTCCATTCAAGAAGAATCAAGTAAAGCAGTAATACTTGAAGTCTCTGATTCTCTTTGCTGCCAACTGCTGCTTATAAAACATGCAAAACCCAGTTTATAAACAAAAACCTCCTCTCTAGAACCCACAAACAATCAAGACACTTATGTAAAGTTTTTACTATCTTAAGATATCCTTAAGTCCTCAAATGCAGGCAAAGCTCACATGCAGCTGATTTCTTAGTGATGAACATCTGTCCTGATTTTACAACTTTGAACCTTGCTGTTCCCAATTCCCCCCAATACATTTCTCCTGAATGTCACTTTTAACATTCCCTACCTAAAGACAAAAGGACATGCCCTATGTGTCCAACCAGTGTTGTCCCAGACAGTAAATCTTAACTTAGCATCTCTTGCTTTTCTGCAAGGAAACTTTTCAAACTCTACATAAATTTTATCCCAACAACAATTCATTTGCTCACACAACAGCTGTGACATAACAAGAACATGACTGACCTTCAGCATCATGCCAGCTTGCTCATAGGCTCTGCAAAGAGAAGACCGTTTCTTCGGTGAGACTTAGTGAACTAAGGGAGTGCAGGGCTGGTGGGGAAGTGACTCCAATGAAAGTGGGTAGCCACAACATATCACCCCACATCAACTATGCTTGGTTTTGTTTTTCTGGGAAATAATGCCTCAGGAACAGCAAATGCTGAGTTAAAGAGATTTTATTTTGCAGATATAAAATTAAGGTCAAAAAGGTTAAGTGACAACTCCAAGACTAATCTGAGAAAACTAAATCTAACTTTTAAAACAAAACATTTCACAAAAGCAAGAAAAAGCCTGCTATTCTCCCACAGGTACTATTAACTAACCTAAAAGGGGATGGGAGGATTCTAACTCACTAATTTCTTCAGACTACTGAACAAAATAGTCCTGAAAATATTATGCTGAGTTTAATTTAAACACATATCTTATAATTAGTAGTGACTTAGTTTTTAAGATTCAGTAAGGACCAACGCAAATGAAAATAACTGTTATGGCTTTTATCTAGATGTCCTCCAAAGCCTCTTTTTTTCATAGGTGTGGCTTTCCCCAGGTGGCTGGAGCTACCTAGTGTGATAACTAAATCCATCCACTGATTGATTTAGCATAGTTCTGGGTGTGGATATGGGATGGCCCATTCTGGATGTGGGTGGCAACAACCAGTAGGCTTGTAGTCTGAATGGAATAAAAAAGAAAGGGAGGCTGGATGCTGCTGCTTCCTGCCTGCCACACCATGGACTGTTTCTCCTCTGTAATGACCCCTGCTGTGCCACCCTGTGTTGGAAGCAACCAACTAAGGAATGAAACCTCTACCAACTGTGAACTGAAATAAACCTTTCCTCCTTAACTTGTGGGTAACAGGTATTTTGTCCCAGAAAAAGGAAAGTAACTAAGACAATCACAATTTTATTTACATTAATACAAAATAATTTGTTATGTACAAATTCATAACTTGGAAAAACTTCCACAGCCTATAATAGCAACTTTTAAAACATAATCTGCAAATAAAGAAAAACATGGAGAGTGCTACTTACTTGGCAGCATGAAAAAGACTGAATGGATACAACAATGTCAAAATTAAGGAAATAAGAAGAAATCAATAGTTTCTAGACAGCTACTATTTAAGACAGTCAACCAAATCACTAGCCCAATTGGTCCCAAAAGACAAATTCTACAAATAGTTTAAAAATAAATAATACTTCAATGCCTGCTAAAGTCTCTTAAGACCACAAAAATTCACAAAACATCACATAGAGTTAGGCTCTTTTTACCATGTATTAATCTGACCAGTTTTACTAAAATGCAAGATTGTTATGACTATAATTTGCAAGTAAGGCAAAACAAACACTTTGAATTGATAAGTTTTAAGATACCTTAGGAAAAATTTTTAAACTTCTTAGAAATCTTATTCTAAGGAAGACTCTACTTTAAAAATGTATGTTAAAAAACGTATGTAAGCTTATACATTCTCGATATGTGTGCTACAATGTCATTCTTTAGCAGGTATCCCTTCACCTCAAGTAAAACCATTGTCAAGCAAAATTGGCAACTATCTCAAATGCAGCTCTGTAAACCACTGTGGACCTCATGATCAAACATCACTACAGATGTTCCTTACAGCTTAAAAATACATCATTTTTATAACCATTCTCTAATTTAAAATTATTTTACCTCACATGCAGCAAATAATAACAGAACTTTATAATAAGAAAATTTTACAATACGAGAACTTTCTGTCAGTTATCTATTTGCTTAAAATTTTTAAAGGTCGAAAAAGATACGCCCTATTATTTTCATGGGCCACAGCTTCCCTCAGGCAGGCATCTTTTGCTTGTTCAAACTGTTTGGCATTTTTAAAAGCAACAGCTGAAACAAAACAACAACAAAATAAATATATCCATTTACATATACAGACTTCCTGCTTCTATCATTAAAAAATCTCAAATGAACCATTTCTGAAATCTACATTTTATATGACGTATCACAGAGCATACTAGCAATTTCAAGTACCTAGGAAGTTTCACAGAACTATATTTTTTTTCCTAAAGAAATTCCCTTACAAGTTCTCTGATTATCAGTATTTCAGAAGAATTTTCAACTTTTTGCTGTTGTTGTTTGTTTTGTTTTGTTTTTTGACCACTGGCAATGCAGCAGCGCTACTTCTACTCAAAACCAAGAATTCCCTGCTCCCCCAAGTATCAGGCAGGGCCTTCAGCCACAAAAGATAGCAGCTCACTTCAGCAGCTCTGCATTTCACCACAGAAATTGTGCTTCTGTTGTAGCTCATTAAATTATTGAGAAACTGAAGACCAATATATACTTAATTTTACAATAAACTCTTCCTCTTGACAGGTTTCAAATAAATGTCTAGCAACGCATCTCTTAAAAAACAAAGCTTCTACTGGATAAAGATGTGATTTTTCTATAAAATGGAATACTACTCAGCCATAAAGAATAAGAAATTAGATTCATTCATAGGAAAATGGAAACATATTGAGGATATACTCCTAAGTGAAATATATAAGTCACACATGTGTAAATACCGAAGTTTCTCTGCTGTGAAAAAACTATAGTAGTACATAAGATCCTAATGGAATAACTGACATTGTGAAATGGGAAGAAAAGGGCTAAAGGTGTAGGGAAGTGGAAGGGTAGGGGAAAGGTAATAAGGGAAAAGAAAAAAATATGAGAAAATGGAAATAAAATGTTTGTAAATGGGGAGGAGAGGAGGGGGTGAAGGGAAGGCAGGGACAAGGGGAAAAAATGAGAACCAAGACCTGTCATGTAAAGGGACAATATCTCAATAATGAATGTAACTGTACTGTAGACCTAAAATGTACTAATAAAGGCAATTAAACAACCAAACAAACAAACAAACAAAGCTTCTGCTAGGCATGGTGGTAACACCTGTAAATCCCTGCATCTGAGAGACTGAGGCAGGATTGCTGTGAGTTCGAGGCCAGCCTCAGCTACATAGTAAGACTCTGGCTCAAAATAAATAAATAAATTTTTTAAAAAATTGACAAAAGTGGAAATGTGAGGCTGGGAGTCTAGGGTTGTAGCTCAGTGGGAGAGAGGGCCCTGGATTCCATTCCCAGTACTGCCAAAAAACTAAAAACAAACAGCTAGAGTTATCCCTAAAAAAGACATCTTACTTTTCAGAGACTAAAGTACATTGCCAGGAGTTTAAAAAGTGTCATCATTAAAGCAAAAAACAATGAGGAGGGGCCCCAGGATACAATCTTACAAACTCTGGGTACCTAAGAGACCGCATTTCCAGCTCTACCCTACACCTCTGAAAAAACTGCAGAAGCTTAAGCAGCTGCTCTCTTTTGCTTTTTAACTATTAAAAGCCTTGTAGGAAACATTAAGTGAAAGCATTCTGATGACTCCAAGCTATCAGACTGTCCTAGGGTTACACACTGCAACAACAGGGTTATAAAAGGGTCACAAATACCTGCTTTTCCATATTCCGAAGCGGCACTGTCATAGTCTGGCTTCCATTTTAAAAAACCAGTTTTTAGGCTAGAATGAAAGAAAGATACATTAACAGAAGTGACCAACTACATTTGCAGGTGGGAACCCTGCTTATGACTGTGTATGCCGTTAAAATGTTTTTAACAAGGGAAAGCATCAGGTATAACCCTCCCTCACCTAACCCACCTCCACTCACAGTACATACAACCTCACCTGCTCCTCTCCCACAACCAGACATGGTTTGCTCACTCTAAAGTGCCTACGTCACATCCAAAGTCCCCAGATGGGCAGCTCCAGCATTACCTGGTCCCTTGCTGGAAAGGCACACAGCTGCTCCACCCCAGACCTACAGAACCAGAACTGTGGGGTAGGCGCAGCAATCCACACTTAGCAGGTCTAGAGGTGCTTAATGTTCAAGAACCTCAAAGCACAGCATCTTCACCCTAGCAGCTGAGAGGCTAGGGTATAGAGTACAGAGAAAAGAAGGAATCATCAGCATATGCTATGCGGAAGGCACAGAGAGGAGCCCCTGGAGAGACTACAGAGAGGACATAAAGACAAATGTTCAGAGGAATAACACAGGGACTTGGTCCAAAGCTGAGAATTAGCTGCAGTAAACAAGGATAAACAAAGGATAGCGTAGAAACCAAGAGAAACTTCCCTCCATATCACCATGGCCTTTAGATGCAAAATCAAAGGACAATCAATTTGGCCTTTTTTGTGATGTTTTACATTTTTATTTTAGAGTAATACCAGATTCATAGTGTAACACAGTGGCCGTCAAACTTGGGTGTGCAAAAGAATTGCTGAACATTATTTTAAATTCTAAACTTCAGTTCAAGGAAAGAAAGCCTGCTTACATATAACACTGTTACTAGATTATTATGAATTGGGAAAGCAACTTAGATGATAGGGGCCCTATGAAGTAAATCCTACATTTTGAGACAGCTCAACCAAGGGCCCACAGGACCTGTTAAGTAACATTCTTTACTATGAAATTAACATATTTAATATTTAACATATGTTTACATACTGTAACAATATTCAAAGTTGTAAGCAAGTTTTCAAGCTTACCAAGAATTTTATTGCTCAGAAAACTAAAATCCTTAAAATTCCAGGATGGCTATTTTAATCCACAAAACTGAGGAAATACGCAATAAAGCAAAATTCTAATTCTCCATCTCATACCAAAACATTCATTACATTCTGCAAGTAATACAGAATTATCGAAGTCCCAGGCTAGGGATTTAGCTGTGGCGCTCCACCTGCCTTGCATACACAAGGTCCTGAGTTTGATCCCCAGTACCAGGGGGAAAAAAAAGAATTAAGTCCCACCAAGAGCAAGATACAACCATTTGTCTAATGTGCTACACCTTGAAAGAGCAAGAGATTTAAAAATATGAAAGATCATCACCACTCAACTGAGCTTCACCAATTAGGAAAAAAGAGGGCACTGTAGTTACGTTCAGTTTCACAGCTAATCTCTGGTTGTTTTGACTTTTTGTCCAAAGCCAATAAGAAAACTTCATCAATTTCCTAGGACAAAAGACATCAGCAAAACCACCATTTATCTGAGGGGATTACTGACTACACTATCATTAGAAACTAGAGAAAATTCAAATCTCCTCTCCTCAGCTCCTGGCCTATTTTTCCTGCTACCTGCTAAGCTGCTCTGCCTTCAGGACCATAAACAAAACTTTCAAACTGGAATCCAACACCTCAACGCCCCAGTCCTACCTGGAATCGTTTCCGTTCATCTGTAGTCTCTGTGTAGTATAAAGACCACTCCCTGCACTCCATCTGCTAAGTTAGAAACCTAGGAGTCAAGCTTTCACCTCCACAGCCAAAAAAAGTCATTAATACATTCACAGTGAGGCTGTAATTCATGTCTCCCTGCTGGGTGGATTTGAGCCACCAGTGGTACATACATGACCGTCCCATCACATGGTACAAGCTGCCTGATGGGACAGACATGCATAAACCTTTGGTGGTTCAAGTCAGCAGGAACGTGTTAAAATTTGTCAGCGTTATTAGATAAATGCTGCCCAGTCCTGTCCCATTATTTAGCTCAGGCCATTGTCACCTCTTCCTGAAGTCACAACCAACTAACCCGACACACAGTACTTCCGTGGGAGTCACCTTTCCCACTGTATTCCCCTCCTCCTCTCCCAGGACCTCTAAAGACAGTAACCCCACCTTCACCACACCCAAGTGCTTCTGGTCTAGCACTTAATATCTATTCCTACTCGTCTGTATACTTGCTTGCCCTCCTGTGACTGCTAAACTCTTGAGAAAAAATGACCACTTCAGGATGCCCAATACCCCAGTGGTTGGTACAGGTATGCAGCACCAACTCCTTAAACGTCTGCTTAATGAAAAAGCCACAGTTCTCTCCCCTCCCCTCCTCACAGTCCATCCTCCACAATGCTGCCCAAAAGATCCCCTGGTTATTCCATGCAGAGAAAAACTAATGCCCAGGTCCATCCAGGGTGGTCCCGCCACAGCCCAGCCCTCGCTCTTATGTTTCAGCTCTCTGCACAACATCAGACCTGTAGACACCATGCCCTGTACGCAGAACTACTCTCACAAGATGTTTCCTTTAAAAAATGATTTACTTTGGAAGTCTCGCTGGCAGAATGAACTTGTGTGTTACCAACTTTACGGTGACCTTTACTACACTTAAAACTCTCACTGTACTTTTACTTTGCTCCCACTAGACTGCTGTGATTGCCTCCTGCACTGAAAGCTCAGCGCCTGCACCTCGGCCATTAGTAGGAGGCATCAACAGCAGCAGCAGCAGCTTGAGTGCTGCACTGTCTGAGCACTGGCTCTGTCCTCTTCCAACTGTGCAGCCCTGGGCAAGTCACCGGGAGGCTTCTCTAAGCCTCTGTACCTGCAAACTGTCATGCATATCTCAGATTTTGAAACTATGTATCGAAGCACCCAACGCAGCAGGCTTTTCATTCAGCTAACTGCTGAATTAAAAAATAATCGTTGGGAATAACGTAAGCGGGGGAGGACAAAGGGGCCAAAAGATCAGAGAATTAGCTGCGTTCTACAAATATTGCTGGGCGCCTGCTGATTCCTGCACCCGGAGGAGGCAGAACATACTCCAGGGCTGAGTACAGCGTTCCTGCCCCCAGGAACAGCAGGCAGGTGGACGACAAGAGGCCACTGAGAAATCTAGAGCTCATCCAAAGCTCCCTCCTAGACACCGGTTCTCAACAAGGGCTCTGTCCTTCAGGGGACACTCCACTTTGTGGAGAGGCAAAAAGATGCAGTCGGCCTTCGGTGGTTGCACACCAGAGGTGGCTTCCGTAAACATCAGCACACGGGGCCCACCGCGGGGAACCCTCAGCTCCCGGCAGGGTGTGGGAGCGGCTCGGAGAAGCGTGGGACCCCGCAAGCCCGCCGCCGCGAAGCTCGCGAGGGCC